TCTTTCCCTGCTTCTTCTGCAAGCTGACGAATGCTCAGAGCTCCAATGTTCTCTCTCTTTTTCGTTTACGTATCTCTTCAGCAAAGGGGTGAACGAGGGAATCGAGTGGATGGTGAAATGCGTGGTGAGAAACATCCATCGCCCTCCGAGGAAGAAGGACATCACGTAGAGGACCGTGGAGGAACCGAGTTCTGGACGCCTTTTGTCCGGAACAGCATCGCTTCGCTCTGACTCTTTCTCTCCCTCTTTCTTGGAATAAAGTCCCCGGACCTGCCGGTCCCTCCTGGCCCGTGTGCGTCGAATGCACGCACCGCATCGTCTTTTGGCGTCTTGCGAAAGGACTCCTCAACTGTGAAGGACTTTGAGCGAAGCCTCGATCTACTGATTTCTTCTACGCCCTTAGCACAGAGGGCGTGGTCTCCTCCCCTTGGGCGTGGGGGGTGCCCCTTTAAGCGTTCGGGGCTCGGACCACCTCTACATCTCTTTTACCTGTGGGGCTGAAGATTCGCTAGTTGGCCGATCCAAATGGAAACGGACGCTTAGAAGTCATTCGGCGTCTCACATTCCAGTCGCTGTCGTCCGATTGCGTTTCCAGACCTGAAACTGTGGCCGTGGGTTTGGAAGTAGGAGGCGATAGTTCCGTTGCGACAAAGAAAATATCTCGCCAGCGTGAGTGGGAATAAGGGGCTCTGTTGGGGCGAATGGCCCTGGTTATATCTGCGTCGATACAGGGTTAGAATCGATGTATAGATTTCATTCCCCGTCGGTCTGGGGACGACCGCAGGGGTTAGGCACAGAGACGGGTACCGTCAGCCGAAAGCTCTCTTTGGATGACCTTCCCCTCCGGTCGCCTCAGCCAAGCAGAGAAAACGAGCCGGGAACCGTTCTCTCGCGGAGCTGATAACGCTCTATATATTTCCGAGATCCAGAAACCCTGTAGGGAGTGTTATCCAATAAAGTTTCATATCCCTCTGTACGGCTGTGCCTTTAATGCAGTCTGCTTCCCGCAGGGGAAAATGTCGAGGTACCTTACCCTCTCTGCAGCCGCATGCTGAGAGCCAGTTTCTGCGAGAACTGGGTTTGATTCCCCGCTCCTCCACATGCAGCTGCTGGTGTGACCTTGGGTCAGTCACAAGTTCTCTCGGAGCTGTTATCCTCTTTCTGCGTGCCAGTCTGGATCCTTGAGGGTGCCAGGGATGCCCAAAATGGTGCGGGTGGTGCCTGCCAGCACTTTTCCTAGTGCCTACCAAGTAGTTTTAGAAAGTGAACAAGACCAGGTAGGGCTTTTGCCCAGCAAAGCTTCTGATTGGCTATTGGAGATTTGCTTGGCTGTGTAGATTTTTAAAAATGTGCTTCGGCAGCAGTTGCTACCTCAGCCCAAGGGGCTTCCCCGTGTGACTGAAAGTAAGCTACAGCAGTCATTCTGTGGCTGGCCCCGCCTCCTGTGGCAGCCCTTTTGTGGCCAGCCATTTTATGGCTGCGGGCACCACGTTGTGCAGAATTCCAAAGTGCCCGCAGGCTCAGAAAGGATGGGGGTGCCCTGATTTAGACTATGACCAATGATCTCTCTGGCTGTTTATGCCTCAGTTCTTTGCTCACCTGTGGTTACAGTTTAGCTTCCAAGCAGGGTTGCCAGCATAAACTGAGTTAGTGTGAGCTAGCTCATAGGCTTTTAGCCTCTGGCTCACACATTTTTATCTCACACAGGAAGGGATGGCTCCAAAGCAAACTGATTTCTGCAGTAGCCGAATCGCTCACTCACAACTTTAATGTCAGTAGCTCACATAGTAGAATTTTTGCTCACAAGACTCCACAGCTTAGAGGGAACATTGGTTGTCAGATCTCCCACTATTACAACTGATCTCCAGTATACCTGGAGAAAATGGCCGCTTTGGGAGTTGGGCTCTGTGGCATTAGGCCGCAAACCCCGCCCTCCTTAGGCTCCACCCACAAAACTTCCAGGTATTTCCCAACCTGGAGCTGGACACCCTACTTCCAAGCCAGTTGCCGTCTAAGGGGGACGCGGGCCTTACCGTGCGCTGAGCAGCTACTTATGGATTGTTTTGGGAATGTATACGCCGCCTTTCCAGAGCCCTGTTTTCTGTTTCAAAAACATGAGTTCCTGGGAAATGTCGGTGTTTAGTTTATTTAAAAACATTTTTTAATCCTCTCTTGCGTACCTACCAAATGAGCTTGTTTGATCGATGGGACTGTCAGGAGCCCTTCTCCCTGCGACCTTAATTCCCAGGCAGGAACAGATGGAAGAAGACAATCTTGTGGTCATTTAATGAAACTGCTGAGCGGTCGGGTTAGAACGGATAAAAGGAAGTCCTTCTTCACCCAAAGAGTGGTTAACACATAGGATTCACTGCCACAGGAGGGGGTGGCGGCTACAAGCATGGACGGCTTCAAAAGGGAATTGGATAAGCATATGGAGCAGAGGCCCATCGGTGGCTATTAGCCACAATGTAGCGAGAGCGGCATGCGGTGTAGAGGGTACCATAAAATCCGATGCTCAAAGAAAGTGAAAGCGGCATGCAACCTTCAAAATCTCCAGGTATTGGAGGTACAGATAGAAGCACGTGGCAGATGGTGCTAGATCAAAGCAAGGTCTGTCCGGTGCCCCAGAATTAGTTGCTGTGGCCATTCACTCCAGAACTTGGAGAAAAGACGACTGAGGGGTGACATGATTGAGGTTTACAAGATTATGCATGGGATAGAGCAGGCAGAGAAAGAGGTCCTTTTCTCCCTTTCTCACAATACAAGAACTCGTGGGCACTCCATGAATTTGCTGAGCGGTCGGGTTAGAACGGATAAGAGGAAGCACTTCTTCACCCAAAGAGTGATTAACACTTGGAATTCACTGCCACAGGAAGTGGTGGCAGCTACAAGCATGGACGGCTTCAAAAGGGAACTGGATAAACATATAGAGCAGAGGTCTATCAGTGGCTATTAGCCACGAGGTATAGATAGGGGCTCTGGGGCAAGTTGATGCTCTGTTTCTTAGTGCTTGGGGGGGTCAACAGTGGGAGGGCTTCTAATGTCCTGGCCCCACTGCTGGACCTCCTGATGGCACTGGTATTTCTGGCCACTGTGTGACAGAGTGTTGGACTGGAGGAGCCTTTGGCCTGATCCAACATTGGCGTCTCTTATGTTCTTATGTTTAATCTTTCAGGTGCCCAGTTCCCAAGCCGTGTTAGGGCTTATCCACCACTTCCTTCCGATCTTTGCGCTCAGTTCAGATCCCGCCAGGTCTTTTTCAAAAGCCCAAGAGCATACACAGGTGTTCAGTGTTCCCTCTAAGCTGAGTTAGTGTGAGCTAGCTCACAGTTTTTTAGCCTCCGGCTCACACATTTTTGTCTCGGCTCAGGAAGGGATGGCTCCAGAGCAAACTAATTGATGCAGCCAGGGCTTTTTTTTATAGAAGAAGTCCAGCAGGAACTCATTAGCATAATAGGCCACACCCAGAAGCAGAAACTCATTAGCCTATTAGGCCACACCCCTGACTGCACCGCTCATTAGCATATTTAGCTGCATTCCCATGTTACCAGAAGTGTGGTCATCCAGCCACACCCACCTTTTGCTTCTTATTCTGTTTACCTTGTTTGTGGTCAAAACTCAGGGCTTTTTTTTTGTGGCAGGAACTCCTTTGCATGTTAGGCCACACACCCCTAATGTAGCCAATCCTAATGAGTTTCTGCTATTGGGTGTGGCCTATTATGCTAATGAGTTCCTGCTGGGCGTGGCCAACTTGGGAGCCAGCCGGAACTCCGTTCCTGTGCGTTCCTGCCCCCTAAAAGCCCTGGATGCAGCAGCCAAATCGTTTGCTCGCCACTTGAATGCCAGTAGCTCACAAAGTAGAACTTTTGCTCACAAGACTCCACAGGTTGCTTAGAGGGAGCCTTGGTTTGGACATGTTGTTGCAAGCACCCTCCAATAAAGCCGTTTCCGGGGTAGCATAGTTGTAGTAGTTAACGCGTCGGACTAGGATGTGAGAGACCCAGGTTCGAATCCCCGTTCTGCCATGGAAGCTTGCTGGGTGACCTTTGGGGGGCCAGTCACACACGCTCAGCCCAGCCTACCCCACAGGGAGGTGGTTATGTGGATAAAACGGAAGAGAGGAGGAGGATGCAAGATACTCTGGGCGCCCACTTGGGAGAAAGGCGGGATGTAAGTCCAGTAAATACTAATAATTCACATGGGAAACGGATGATCAGTACTAGGCCGAATTCCGCGACGGTGATGTTTTGACGGGAATTGGGAACCTCTGTGCCTCGGGACGAGCGTTCGTTTTGCAAGCGACAGTTCGACGTCAGCAAAGCCTTTGCCAACGCCAGAAGCAGACAGTGTCTGGAGCGAGTGAAGAAGTGGAAGCGGATAATTTTTCCCACTTACGCCAATGACCGTTCATCTTGTGCCTCCCCCGTGAGCAAGGTTTTCCACTGACATCTAAGTGTTCTCCCCACCCCCACCCCGACTCTTGCGTCGAACTGGGGTTTTTCTCCGCAAGTTTCAGGGTTTGGAAGGAATTCGAAGCACTTGAAACTTGAAAGGCTTCATGAGTTGTTTCTGGAATGGCCGTTCTGCCCAATTATGCTGATAGAATCACAGGGTCATAGAACCACAGAGTTGGAAGGGGCCACACAGGCCGTCTAGTCCCACCCCCTGCTCAGTGCAGGATCAGCCTAGAGCAGTAATGGCGAACCTTTTAGAGACTGAGTGCCCAAACTGCGACCCAAAACCCACTTATTTCTTGCAAAGTGCCAACACGGCAATTTAACCTGAATACTGAGGTTTTATTTTAGAAAAAACAACTCATACATTAACTTAAGATGATCCAAACAAAGTAAGGAAAACAATCCCAAATGCTTTCATTTATTTAAAATTATTTGGCAGAGAATTCCACACTTTAATGATGGTCTGGGCATGGCTGGGGCGATGGCATACGTGCCCACAGAGAGGGCTCTGAGTGCCACCTCTGGCACCCGTGCCATAGGTTCGCCACCACTGGCCTAGATCATCCCGGACAAGGGTTTGTCCAACCGCTGCTTGAAGACTGCCAGGGAGGGGGAGCTCACCACCTCCCCAGGCACAACTCTGACTGTCAAAACGTTTTTCCTAATCCAAGGTCCTAATATCCAGCCAGTATCTTCCTGCCAGTTTGGTGTCGTGGTTAAGTGCGCAGACGCTGACCTGCGAGAACCGGGTTTGATTCCCCCACTCCTCCACTTCCACCTGGCTGGATGACCTTGGGCAAGCCATAGTTCTGGAACAGCTGTTCTTGAAAAAGAGCAGTTTCTGTCAAGATTGGATTTATACCCCGCCCTTCACTACCTTGGAGCTGCGGTAGCTCAAGTGGTTAAGACGCTGAACTGCAGGCTGTGGAAGGTCGGTAGTTCAGCAGTTCGAGACCCGAGTGTGCCGCATGACGGAATGAGCTCCCGTCTCTAGTTCCAGCTCCTGCCAACCTAGCAGTTCGAAAGCAAGAAATTGCAAGTAGATAAATAGGTACCACTTTGGTGGGAAGGTAACAGCGTTCCGTGCGCCTTGGTGTTTAGTCATGCCGGCCACATAACCACGGAAACGTCTTTGGACAGCGCTGGCTCTTCAGCTTTGAAGCGGAGATGAGCACCGCAACCCTAGAGTTGGATTCGACTGGCTTTCGAGCAAGGGAACCTTTACCTTTTACTTCACTACCCAAAGGAGTCTCAAAGCGGCTTACAAACTCCTTTCCCTTCCCCTCGCCACAACAGACACCTTGTGAGGTAGGTGGGGCTGAGAGAGCTCTGACAGAAACTGCTCTTTTTCAAGAACAGCTGTGCCAGAATTATGGTTTGCCCAAGGTCATCCAGCCAGGTGCAAGTGGAGGAGTGGGGAATCAAACCCGGTTCTCTCAGAAGAAGAAGAGGAGGAGGAGGAGGAGATTGGATTTATACCCCACCCTTCACTACCCAAAGGAGTCTC